ACATATATAACCACAAATCAATACTAAAACAATTTTGACACAAATAATATTTAATTAATAAAAATATGTCAATACTAATAGCATATTTAACCACAAATCATATTTAATTAATAATAATTTCGACTGCAAAATAGGCAATATAATTAGTGGGAAGAGGAGGGGGGTTTTGGCAGCAAATCAGTGGGGAGGGGGAAGGTTTTTGGTAGCAAAACAGGCTACAAAATTGTGACGCCTCTAAAATCAGGGGTCTTTTATAACCGTTGATCATCCATCAACCCACGAAAATACCCATAAATGTCACATAACCCAACACTACGGCATAACACTCCTTTACCAAGATTATAACCACACAATGTTTGGACATAGTCTCCCTTGTACTGGGAACTCTTAAACGCATAATCAACGCACACTTTAATCACATGACCCATTTGAGATCCAATATATAACAATTTATACTCAGTTATTGTCATTTAAACCATTTAAATAAAAAGACTCAAAGTCCAGAAGCATAGTAAAACATTCTTAAAATTTGAAGTTTTAGGAAAACCTACCGGTAGGAAAACCTTCTAGAAAATTTCTACCGGTAGGTTTGTCATCGTTCTACTGGTAGAAAAACTCACTGGAAATGTTCTACCGTAAAGCTTGATGTTCTACCAGTAGGTTTAGCCTACTGAAAAAGTTTTATCAATAGAAGAACTCGTCGTTCTACCGGCAGGTCTTTTCAGTTTTCATATAATTCCTTCTTTTTTCAATTCCCATTCATTCTAAACTTATACAAAATCATACCAAACTCATATAACATCAATTTTAAGCAAAATACAGTTCATATGAATTCACTTTACAATCCTTTACAATATCATATGTCCAAAACTAAATTACATAATAGTTTTTACAAAATATGTTTCAAAAACCACATCTCGACTTTTCTTTCAATCATGAGGGCCCGATTGAGAGCCTTTCATTGGCGCATATCCCGCACCTGAAATGTTGTTCCCATAAAGGGTGAGCCACGCTCAATAAGGTATCTTCTAAAGAGGTTACTCCCTAACCTAAGTGTATATGAAATGTTCATATGCAACATTCAACAAGCAACAACCATTTCAATCAAGAATATGCAATTTAATGTTGAAAATCACCATGTCATGCCATAAAATGAGATGAGACTCACTCATGCACTTCAACCCGAGCCTTCACCGGCTCTATCAACACATGCAAATGCCATGCGTATGTTTTCTGGGCATTCCAAACCTTCGCCATTGATGTTACACATCCAATGACTATTTAAAATCTCTGGCTCTTTCTTAGAGTGGGTATTTATGGACTTCTACCAACGGTCACCCAACCGACACGGGCATCTATGGACTTCCACCAACAGTTCTGCGTATACTGACATACTTTATGGACTCAATACCAATGGAGTGCATATCCAAAGTAATCAGATCTTGCACCCGAGAGATTGTCTAACCCTTTTTGCTAACTCTGACCCAATTTTCAATGTAAACCATGCGATTTAGTCGAACCTCGGTCCAACTATCCCGAGCTCACGAATTATCCACTAAGAATGATATTTGATCAAATCATGCACACACACCCACACTCATGCCTAATGCTCATGAATGCGATACCTCCGTACATATGTAATGTAGTGTACAATTGTAACACTATAATCATGTTCAATATGTGATGAATGTCATATGATCCATATCCACCACATTTTAACATATACCATGATCAATTATATCATAAGCATATAATTATCATAAATTATCTTAATATCAATATATCACCAAACATACATCAAAATTATACCTAACAATAATTTTCAAGCATGTTATTACATAATCTCATGCAAATAACATACTTAATTCTCCAAGGCATAATATAAACACATATTATACCCACATATCACAATTTTTTAAGAAATTACAAGCTAGCAACTTCTAAATATCAATTCAAGTTAGAGTTGATTTTACCCATTTTCAATACTCATTTTATCAAATTAACCACAATAGTAAGTGTTATACACCTCTAACACCCTAACAATTCTATATAATCACCCTAGGTTGAAAATAAACCTAATTAGGTAAAAAAAACCCTACCTCTTGAAGCGTAAACAATGTTATGAAGCTCCAAGAATTCCAAATCACGCCTAAAACCTTTTATTTCTTCAAGCCTTTTTTTTTTTGAAATTTCACCCAAATCTATGTTTTTTTTTGTATGGTTGTGTAACCCTCGACGAAGAATAACTTCTATTCTTGACTTGAGTCGATTTGACCAACGAATTTTTGTATATCATAGAAAGAATGTGGAGCTTCCCCATCTTTTTTTGAATTTTTTTTCCAGAAAATCTGATGGGTATATCTTTTAGATGTTTGGTCCTCATTGCTCCACACGTTCTCCATTCTCGGGTTCGATTTTGTTCCGAAATAATTAAATTTTATTCCGGTTCAAGTTCAAAATATTTTTATTTTCTAATTTTTGAAATTTTATTCCACATCTAGTTTTTAGGTCATGCGACACCCGATCGCCTCGTAAAATGCAAAAAATCTAATTGTCTCAGAATTCAACAAAAATTATGTGGATAACTAGATTTCGCGAGACGAATCTAACAGTGAGATTCGTTTCGTCATCCAAGTTCTAAAAAAATTTAGGTTTTCAACATGCACTGACGTGATAAATTATTGTTTTGCCCTTTTTCACAAAAAATTAAATTTACTCGGGTTTTACAGAAACAGTGGAGAGAGGGAGGGTTTTTAGCAGCAAAACAGACAACAAATCAGTGGAGAGGAGGAGAGATTTAATAGTGGGGAAGGGGAGGGGTTTTCGACAGCAAAATAGGCAGCAAATCAATGGGGACGGGGAGGGGAGACGAATACCTGATCACAATTAAAGGTCACAGAAGAATGCAGCAAGAAATAGAGCAGCAAGGAACAACAACAAGTGACAAGCAAATCTGACCTCTCTAAATCTGACGAGCATGAAGACCTCCTAAATTTTGGAAAGGATGATGGCTATTGGGTCTCTGGAACATCAGGAATGATTTGGTTTGGCGCAATCGCAGAGTTCATGAAGGGCAAGTGGTTACAATGGCATCTTCATTGCATGAGCAGTGGATGTATGCTCAGGTTAATACCAGGCATAGTGAGGCACGGGCTGTTGATGCTATCTGGTCTTGGAGGAGCTAGACACAGGTACTTACAAATGCAAAGTTGATGAAGCTCTTTTTGGTCATTCTAATTGCATAGGTTATGACAGTGTGATAAGGAATGTTGAAGGTTCTATGTTGGCAGCCAAGAATGGTATAGTTGCTGGTCCGTTGGATGCTACAATTGCTGAAGCAATTGGTGTTCATGAGGCGTTAAGTTGGTTGAAGACTTTGGGACTCAATAATGTGATTTTGGAATCTGATGCACAGGTTGTGATTCAAGCTATTACAAGTCCCCAGGTTGATTTATCTTATTTTGGTTTAATAGTTGATGAGTGCAAATCCCTTACCGGGGATATTGGTAGTTGTCAATTTGTGTTTGTAAAAAGATCTGTGAACCAAGTGGCACATGCTCTTGCACGAGCAGCCGGTTCTACGTCTGATCAGGAGGTTTGGGGACCATTTCCTCCCCCTTTTATTGTTGATGTTTTGGCCTTTGATCTATGTTAATGAAGTATGACGTTTTTCAAAAAAAAAAAACTAAAAGAGGAGAATAATTAGCTAATAGCTCATGACCCATCCATGGGCTGTCATGTGACAGCCCGAACCGCCACTATCCGGGTGGGCTGTCTGACCTTCGAGTACGTGTTTCACCAAAATTTATCCTCTTCCTCTGTTGGGAGTTTGTCTCCGTACTCCTCCCAAAAAAGAACAACATCTAAATTCAATCCATCATGAATCCTCTAAACTGATCATCATCCAAAACCCTAATCGATTCATCCGCGAAAAGGGTTTTTCAAATCCACCTGTAAGATCTAATTCCTCTATTTCTGTACTCAATTTTCTTAGACTTTTTTTTTTTTGTTAACATATAATCATACATTGATATATAGTTTTTAGGGATTTCTTGGTTGAATTTTTGATTTTTGAGACATGGATGGTAACAAAGATGAAGCTTTGAAATGCTTGAAGATCGCCCAAAACGCAATCGAATCCGGCGATCAAACCCGAGCTTTGAAATTCATAGATAAAGCTCGTCGGCTCGATCCCTCTCTCTCAGTTAATGAGCTTTTATCAAAAGTTGATGCTCAATCACAGTCCAACGGACCCACCAGTGATATTCCATCAAAACCCTCCAACGATGGACCTCGCCGTAGGGTTTCAGCTACTGGGTCTTCCCCATCGTCGTCAGCCACGAATTCGGTTGCGTATACTGAAGAACATATCTCAATTGTGAGAGAGATTAAGAGGAAAAAGGATTATTATGAGATATTAGGGTTAGAGAAGACTTGTAGTGTTGAGGACATTCGGAAAGCGTATCGAAAATTGTCTTTGAAAGTTCATCCTGATAAGAACCAGGCTCCAGGAGCTGAGGAAGCATTTAAGGCGGTATCCAAGGCGTTTCAGTGTTTGAGTGATGAGGAGAGTAGGAAAAAATATGATGTTGTTGGGCACGATGAGCCTGTTTATGAAAGGCGTGCCACGAGGCGTGGAGGAGGAGAATTTAATGGGTTTTATGATCGTGATTTTGATGCTGATGAGATTTTTAGGAATTTCTTCTTTGGAGGAATGCACCCAGCAACAAGAACTCAATTTACTGGGTTTAGTTTTGGACCTGGAATGGGTGTTAGAACTGGTAATCATGGACCTAGCGGGTTTAACATTCGAGCTTTAATTCAATTGTTGCCTGTCATCTTGATATTATTGCTGAACTTTGTGCCGTCATCGGAGCCAATTTATAAGCTTTCGAGAGTAGATCCGTATGTGTACAGGTTTACTACACAAAAAGGTGTCAATTTTTATGTGAAGTCAGGGAGGTTTGAGCAGGAGTATCCCACTAATAGTGGTGAGCGGGTGGTACTTGAGCAGAGAGTCGAGAAAGACTATTATTCAATCCTTGCTTATAATTGCCAGCTTGAGTTGCAGCGTCTTCAATGGGGTTGGATACGGCAAACACCCAATTGTGATGCAATGAAACAATTTCAGATGGTGGCTTGATTACCGAATTTAAGGTACAATTTGTCTTGCTATCTTTGCCTTTTGTACCTAAATACTTTTGTGGGAAAGTTTGAAGTGAATCATTTAGTTTTTTTGAAATATCAATAACATGCAATTAACGTTTTGCAAGGTACAATTTGTATTACTATCTTTTTCTTTTCTACCTCAAATACTATTGTGGGAAATTTTCAAGTAAACCATCGAGTTTCTTTGATGTATTAATAACATGACATTAACGTTTCTTGGCACTAGTTTGAGCTGCAGTTTGATCTTGCAGCTGGAGTGTATCTTGTCACACGAGATTATATGTGCATTTTGGTTTTAGATTTATGTGTTTTCATGCTGGTACCAATATGATTGGTTGTGGTGCTGTCTACGTGTTTGAAGTCTTCGATTCAATTGTGCATCCCACTCCATTTAGCTTTGGGGACGTATGTATTGATTATTTTGATTCATAATCTAATTTTGTTAAGCAATGTATTACCTTTTAGTTATACAAGCTCTTTGATTATCTTATGGGGAAGCTACATTTTTGACATGATTCTTGTTCATCCACGAACAACAAGATGATCAAGTTGTTATGATAAAATTGCGGAATATATGTATTCGCTATGAAAATCATTGATTTGATGTTTTTCCATTTACTTTTGAAATATGCTAATTTATATACATATAACTAGAATGATCAACTAGTATCTACAAACACAGGGAGACGACAAAGTTTCAAAATATAGGACACAAGTATGGCGAGGATATCGTTAATTAAAATAATATTATATAGTTTTCATATATAAAAAAAAAAATTATAAGACCTAATAAGACCTAACAAACATTAATTTGTTAGAGTATATTTAGAATATTAGATGAAAATCCAGATTAAAATTTTCTTCGAGATTAAATTTTCACATGTGAGAGACGTGAATGTGAGACTAGGGTTTGTACAGGTCAACTAACCTGATTTGTGTAAATGAGCTTAGTGAACAAATAATCCTCAAACAATTTGTTCAAACAAAATTCCCAAAGAATTCCTAAAATTCAAAACCCTAAAATCCTAACCCAATGATATTCATAAACCATATGATTCTCAACATAAATATATAAATCAAGGCACAAAATCAACCTCAAATCATGCAAACCACAAAGAAGCAAAACCCTAGAAAAGGCAAAAATGGAACATGATTTTTGGTCTTCCCCACTCCTCCTCCTCCTCCTCCTCCTCCTCTTCTTCTCCTTCTCCTTCTTCCTCTTCTTCTTCTTTGCCTCCTTTGTCGATCTCTCTGTCTCTCGTCTGATGGAATAAGGGAGCTGAGAGATATAAAAAGAGAATGCCATCTTTTTCAAATCTTTCTTTTCTTTTTTTTTTTTTTTGCTTCAGGCCCCCAACTTTTAAGAATAAAAAATAACTCTACCGTGTCCGATTAGTATCCCAATCATATCCACCCCGTATCCTACTTAATGTTTTTGTTTCTTATTCAAGGCACTTGTTGAAGTGTCAAACAGATGTCCAACACAGCCATGACGACCCCCACACGAGTATCCGTGCTTCATAGACTAATGTTGTAGGATTAATATCTATAAAGAAGAAAGTGCCACCTTTCAATCATGCTAGATGTATGATTGGTTTTGCATGAGAAAGCTATATTCATCACTTGTTTGTGTTTGTCACATTAATAAGATAATGATATCTATTGATGCAAAATTTGTAGCAACCTCCATGCCAACTTGTCGGAGTTCCAATCACTTGAAACAGAAGTTGGAGACCGAAAATAGATCTCCGGAGGTCGATCTGATGTTTAAGTCAGTATTTCGTTAAGAGAAATGAAGAGTGACTTTGGAGTGAGTGTTGTGTACCTAATGTGTTTTCCCCCAAGCTCTATTTATAAGTATAGGGATTAGCTTCCCTCAAAGAACTATAAGAAGGAAAGACTCCTTTTGGGATTAGATTATGGGCTTCCTCGTTAGTCTGTTGGGAGAATAAGAATCCCATTGTGTGAGGGGTCTTTACTCCATAAAGATGGCTATCAACCAGAGCTTCCTTTGATTTTTGAATTACTCATAATTTTATCTCTCGATATTTCATCAAGACTCTTGGATCTCTTCCAACGGTATTTTTTGTACGGGGCTCCTCGTGTTAGAGCTTCCCCTGATTTTTTTCCTCTTCAACAACTTATATTGGAAGGAGAACTTGCAAAGTAACTATGTTGTTAGGAGAAGAAAACTATGTCCAAAATCTCTAATGACTAAATGGTTTATGTTCAATATCTTTTAGAATCATGTATGATGCAGTTTTAGCATTTTGGATGTTCTTATCGTGCTGAAGATTATGAATTACTTTGAAAATGTCAGTTTGGTGCTTTGTATATGTCCAAGTGTGCGCTCACTCCCCCTTTGTTTGTTTGTGGGTGGTGGGGGCAGAGGGATCCTTGGTGTGAGACCCGGTTTGCAATAATAGTCTCTCTAAATGTGACAAATTTACCAATTGAGAATTGAATTATGTTCGGAAAAATGTTAAAACAGAAACAGAGAACTGCCTTGAACCTGCCCTATTTCGATGACATAAAGTGGGCTAAGATCAAGCAAGGCCTGGCCAATGTAGAACAACCAGACTTCGCCTGGAAAAGTGGAGATTTCGATTTAACAACGAGAGTGATTTCCTCCTAAATGAGATATAAACATAAATTTACATTACCAAATGAAAAAGAGAAGTGGAAAGAAAAGCCTGAGTTATTTTCTTTCATGAAGGAGTGTTTGAAGACTACCCAAAGGAGAAGTCATACACACAAGGTCTAAGGCTTACATTCTTCTGAAAAAAGGGTCTAAGCCTTACGTAGTTGTCTCTGTCTCCTTGGTGCCCCTCCCCTTTATTCTTCCTCTGTGATAGCTGCTTCACTAACAAAGAGTCTTCCAAGCCTTGAGCTCGCCGAGTGCTTAGCGCTGAATTGCCCCCACTTCCGCTTGTTCAGGACCGCGCTTGACTAATAGGGCAGCCTCAATTTCAGTATGGGAGGAAGCACATGGCATGGAAAGCATGAGTTGTAGGACAACCAATCCTTAAGAAAGCTATCTCACCAGGGTCTGGTTAGTCGATCTAAGATAAGCACTGTTCAAGCTGCTGCTTCGTCTTCTTTCTTCTGTAGTTGAACTATTAAAACCAATAGAAGAAGAGCTGTATAAAAGGTTATTTAGCTTCTTCTTCTTCACTTTTCATTTAATTCTGCTTTTTGTGTTTTTTTTTTGGTTAGCCAGTTGTAAGTTATCTTTGTTACCAATGTGAGTGTAGTAGTAATTTGATTACATGAGTACTTCACACACATTTTTGTGCCATTGAGGTTGACGCGATGTGTAGTTTCTTAGAGTTTCTGAATTGTATTTATCAAATATATGTTTACTGGAAGTATAAATTGCAAAATTCATGTTATATATTGTTGTTTATGGTGACATGTTGTAGTCATGGTTACATTTCTGGAAATGTAGCAAACAAGTTGAGTTTCGGTGATGCGTAACATTAAGTTCTAAATATTATAGATGAGATGTGGAAGTGTGTTTAAAATTCATGTTATTTCTTTGTTGCAGATTCCTGGTTGGTGCAGTGCTTTCAACTTGTCTACTTACAAAGAGTGCAGCTAGCAATTTAGGTTGTATTGAAGTGATGAAGGATGCATAAAGTTGGGATAAACACCTTCGAATTTGGTCTCAGCATAAGTTGGACCGCGTCCTAGTTAAAATTGAAACGATATCCAATGACATTGAGATGATACAATCAATTATGAACCTACGTACTATGTTTTTGTCTGATATGTGGTCGAACAGCTTCTAGTTGTCTGATATGTGATTGAACAGTTTCTAGTTACTTTGATGTATTTAATCGATTATACTTACAGATTTGAACTCTGCAAACTGATTTACTGCAGATAGGTTTCTTGATAATTCCCTGTGATGGGAGCTTTGTGTTTCACCATAAACTGTCTTGGGGATGGTTTTTCCTCATGGTTTCTTTTTTAATTCTTCAGTTGATCTTATTGCTCATTCATTCCACAGCACGACATTATTAATTTGCTTCATCAATACTTATAGGCACTGCTACACTCGGCCTTTTGCTACTTCACCACCAACATGGACCCCTTAACTTTGTGTTGAACCTTCCCTTTATTTCAAAGCAGCTTGTCTGCCTAATGGGTGTACGATTTGGATCCTCCAATACACTCCTCGATTTATCCTGATGTTCCTCAATGGTAGATCGGTCTTTCATGAATTCGCATAAAACCCACTATCTGTATTGGAGCAGGTTCATGAATAAGAGGATTCAATACTCTTTTGTTGGTTCACTGTGGGGGTGTGCATGGGCTGGGTTATTCACGGGTCTTGTTACCCGGCCCAAAAAAATAGACCTAAAATTTGATAGACTTAATAGTTGACCTACCCCGAATCTGAGTTTAATATCTTTAAAAAGAGGGCTTAAATTTGACTCTAAACTCATTACTTGACCCGAAGTCTGGCCTATCTGTCAAGCCCAACCCGTCCACATAGCCCATTCACCCTTCTTTTGAAAAAAAATTATACTTTTAAATCATTAAATTTGAAAATTTTGAAATAAATTTTTTAATGTTGGAATTTAAAGTTTTAAAAATATATATACTATAAATAATGTATTATTTTATTTTTTATTTATTAAACATACAAGTTTTAAAGGATAGAGTAATATAAATAATAAATAATTGAGTAAATGTCAATCTAATTGAGATGTATTCATTTTATTGGTTGTAATTCATCCATTAATTAAAAATAAAATTATTTATTATTTTATTTTTATCTATTTTGATTATATTTTTTATTCAAAAATATAATTTACATAAATATTAAGTTATAAAAATATTCATTATTTTTAAATGAAATTGTATACCAAAAAAACTCGTTCACAGGCTCGCCCAACAAGCTCGTTTATAGGCCCGTTCAATAAGCTCACAGGTTAGATTGCGGGTAAGAGTGCAACTCGACCGAGTCGGACAATCAAT